GTAAAACACGTGGACATCTGGTCTGGTTTGTCCACCCTTCATCCCCCCCCCCTCAGCCCCCACCTCCTAAGTGCATGTGCAGAACAGAGAGGGATGACTCCTCTAACATAAACAGCTATAATATGGCAATAAAGATTAATGAGTAAAACTTGCCATTTTATGTATAATCCGTGGGGATTTACAATCATTAATCTTTATTAGTGTGTAATAACTGTTTAGACATTAAGGACAGATTCTCAGCTGGACAAAACTGGCTTTATTCCAGCTAAGCCAATGGAGCAATGCCAGTTTACACCCTCCATGACCCTAGCTCTAAATGAGACCCATCCCCATCTGTAGGAATCATATCACTAACAGTCTTTCCCCAACAGCAGGGGCAGACCAGTGAAGGCAACTATTTGTCTTTCTCTGCATCCGAAAAAGAGAGCTGCATGTGTCCAGGAAGCTCAACAATAGACATGTCAATAAACATGAGGAAATTCAATGAAAAAGCAACAGCAACAAAAGGAACCCCAAGGAGCAGGGAAGTGGATGATTTTTGAGGCAAGACTATAAGATCTGGTTTGGCAGGAGCATAACTAAGAGGAATGTAGCAATCTTTGGCATGTGAAAGAGTGAAAGCACCAAGACGGGCTCCCAGAGATCCTCTAAGAGGAACAAGATGGAAGAGGGAGAAAGAAAAAGAGCATCTTGGCTGGCTTTTCTGAGAGAGGAGTTTGGGGTTTGTTTTTAATAAAGAAGAGGCCTATTAAACAAGGGAGCTGGTGGGAACCTTGTCTGAACTACATTAGACCAGCCACCAAAGGAACGCTGTGTTGACCAACAAGGATTTCCTCTTCCAAAATGCTAGGAAAGGAGGGAGATGTGCAGGTACATCCTTAGCTTGTAGCAAGAATGAAGAAATCCCAGTTAAGGTGTGCTTTTTCCAAGTAGTGACCCACCAACTGCCTCCTCCATCACACAGGGGAGGCCAGCTGCCTCCAGAAATGGCATTCCCACCTCTTTGCCAAGTCAGAAATGCCTCCTTCCTTGCCAGTAAACCTGACAAAAGTCAGGAAGTACAGTACATAGATACCTGTGTAAAGTTCTGTACACCTGGAGAACCTCCAGGAGAGATGGGCATTTCACCCACTGCAGCAGCACGGACCTGGCATTCAAAAACAGTAACTGGCAAATGCCCTCCAATGCCTGTTTCTGGTTTAAGAGACCAGTGGGCTCCAGAAAACAGCTTTCCTCCCAGTGACACTTCAAGAGCTCTAGGAATGGCAAGGCCTCAAGCATCAGGAGGTTGCAGGAGCATCAAGAGCTGTATGGTGGAGGAAGAAAGGATGAGCATCATGTCCCGGTGGTCCCCCACTGCCTGCCACAGGGATGGGCTGAGCATCCCTCATGCAGCCCAATAACCACTGCTTGGGGCAGAACAGAGAGGTCCTCCCTGCCTTGCAAATGGCTCATTGGAATTCATCCATGTAGCTGGTCCAGGGCACAGCTTCGAGCAGCTTTTCTGTCCTCTCTGCTCCCTGGTGCATTTTTGGTTTGTTTCAGGTTTATGGCATGAGACCTGCTTCTTCTGCAGATTACACATCCCAGTTCAGGACGATCTAAGACACAGTCTTGTGGTGTCCAAAACCAAAAGAGGTTTCTGAAGAACAGCTTTAAGTCTCAACACCTTGGCTGTTCAGGGGGCATTGTTGTTGGGAAAGGCTTCATGTCCCAGAAACAGGCCTGTCCTAGGCAACCCTGTGCTCATGTTACAGCCAAGCAAAGTCCTGAGCACCAGCCAAAGGCTTTCCATCTTCACAGAGGTTACAATCAAATGAAAGAGAGGAGAGTCTGATTTTCATCTTGTAGCCCAGCATGTCTTCAGGGCTTTTAAGCACACAGGAGTCCCTGCCTCTCCTCCCTGTGCCGGGGCCACCAACTCAGGCTTCTCTCTAAGAATACCCCGGGTCAGGCCAAGCTTTGTGTCCACATGTGCCACGAAGGATGCAGGACAGACAGGCGATCTCTGCACTTCTCTCCTGCCATAACTATCTTCCGCAGAGGTGATCACTGTTTTCATTCACACTGATCATACAGATTCACGCTTGCTCCAGGCTGACGCAGATGACTTTTAAAGGAACAAAGTCACGGAGAACCAGGAGGGAAGGGAAGTGATTTGTTGCATGCCCTATTGTAATGTCATTAAAACAAAGGGATTAGACGGCCCAAGCACTGAAAGAGCAAAAAGCATAAAAGCAAGCATTCAGCATGTAGTGTCGAGGCATGCAGGAGTCGTTTTAGAGGGTTACTTAGCTGCAGACAACACTGACATTAATTTTCTATTGGAAAACGCTGGTGACATTAATGTCTGCTATTAATACTGAACTTTGACAGCATCTCATAAATTCAACCTGTCAATTACAATGGCACTGAAATAAAGGTGCTCTGAGGTCAAGGAGATGCGGTGTCCAAATGAGACTTATATTCCAGGAGGAAAGCGGCAAAAACAGTCTTTAACAAAAGCATCAGATCCATATGTAGGAAAACCAAAGGGTGGTTTTAAATGTCATGTTTTTCAAAGCAAGAATTGATGCTGGAACCAACTCCATAAACTGCCTGGCTGGACTTTTAGCTGCAGCTGAGGACAATCAATCAAAACAGCTCTCTGAGAAAGCGAGAGAGAGAAAACACACACACATACCCCATGGAATATGAGAGGGCAGATCATGATCCATGTGAGGCCTCTGAAAATTACACTGCGAAGTAAAACATCCTTGGGTTTCACCCACCACAAACGTGACCTGAAAGGTTCCCCTCGACATGAAGTGGAATATGGAGCTTATCGTTACCGAGGGCCAGGCAGGCTCATGGCATGAGGCTGAGAAAGGGGAACCTCTTCCCCGAAGCCTGCACGACCCCTGACCTCTTTGCAGCAAGGAAACCTCTGCACTCTGATTCCTGCATTCCTCCTCAAGCCACCCTGCCCTGCAGCTGAAGGGCACAAGGATCAAGAAATCCCCATGAGCAGTGCTCCCATACATCCTTCGATGCCAGGCCCAGGGCAGAGCTGGACTATTTTAGGGTTCTCTCTGTGGGCGCTGCCAGCCCTGGCTGTGTTGTCTATATGCACCTCTTCAAAGTGGTCGATACATCCCTAGCACAGGAGGTACCACTGTCCAGGAACTCCTGCTCTAAATACTGCCCTCCCCATCACCCCTTCCAAGGCTTATGAAACAGATGCTCAGACTATTCCAGAAGCCCAACGTGCACCAACAGAGACTGGAGCCACTAAACTGGGAGAGAAAGGGCTGGACCCCAGGCTGAACCACATCCTGCACAATGTAGATACTGCAGAGTAAGCCATGCTTCAAGGTGGGATTTGACTCTGAGAGTTGTGCCAAAGCGATGGATGGGGAAGAGAACCATGTGGCAGGGCATGAGGCACATGTGCACGCTCCAGTGCAGCCACACACACAGGCACTGTCCATGGGATGAGGGAAGGAGCCATGAGCAAAGGCAAAGGTCCTCATGGCTGAGTGAGGCAGCTATGCAGGTTTGGCTCAGTCAGTCTGTTAATCTGGAGCCCGTGGCTTTGCTCCAGCCTCAGCAACACCTTGTGCATGGTTCCGCCTTTCTCTTGACAGTGATCGTGTTACCTAAAAGCAGCATGATCTGCCATCTTCCCCTCCCACCCCAACAGTCCCCAGGCTCCTGCCCATGCTAACAGCCCTTCCCTGAGGACCTGGACAACAGCACTGAGCTCCTGATAGGGTGTGCTGTGGTCTCCCTGCATGGTTTTCAGGCTGCAGCTCTATGGAGGACACTTGCAGCCCATGCTTCAGCCCCTGGCTGCCTTCAGCATCCCAACCAGAGCTGGACGTGGCCCAAGCCATGGGCCAGCACGGGCTCCAGGGGAGCTCAGTAGCACCCCCAAAGCCTGTGGGCAAACACGGAGGGATTGTTGCTGACGTAGTGTGAGAGCCCTGGAAGCTCACACTGAGATATCCCATTTTTCACAGATGTTATGCTGTGCATACTGTTATCCCTTCTCATTTGGAGAAGGAGAGAGGAACTCCCTTCTAGGCTCAAAGCAGCTCATCCCCAGCCCAAGGGCACGGCAATGCTGCTGGGGTTGGTGGGGACCAACCACTGCAACCTCCTCCTCGTCTTTGTGCAACTCATCTGACAACCTAGTTTCCTCTGGGTTTTTGTCCCAGACACTATCCCAGCAATGTCTACACCTCATAACCTGCCCAGTATAGTGGGATAAGTTGGTGGAATGCAGGGCAGGGGCTTTCCCTTTGCAGGAGGCTGACAGTGCACCAAAGGATGGCTGGGATGCAGGAAGAGGCAACCTCACAGGATGCGGGGGCCTCCCTCCCTTACAGTGACGCTGTCTCACAGCTCGGGTAGCTGAGCTGAGATCCTTGTTTATAATCTTTTTTTATGATGCACATTAAATATTTTCCACAACACAGACACTTCTCTTCTTTCTCCTTTCCTTTGACACCTTTTCCGCAGCAAAGCCCTACAACTATCGCTTGCTGTGGCCTATCATCATCGTCACCACGCATTCATCCTCATATAAAACAGAAATCTATTCCATCAAGCACTTAACATAAATATTAAAACAATGGAAGGGACAAAATATAAATCTAAATACAACTTCATGACTACCATAGCACCTATTACCATGACAAAGCAAATTCTGGTTTGGGGGGAAGGGGACAAGGAGGAAGTTAGGAAGGGGGACTTTGACTGTCATTAAATATGTAAATCACTCTTTAACATGGGGGTTTTTTTGCTGTTTTGTTTTTTGTTTTAAGGTTTCCAACCTTCTTACAATTCATTTCACTACCCAGCTCGTTCTATGTCACTATGGATACCAAAGAACCCTTTGAAAAACTTCGGCGAGGCGGGGGGTTTCTCAGCATACAAACAAAACACAGCGAAACACGGCGGCTTTCTGTTGGTGCTTCCATGACAAGTCCTGCCACGCGCCCCTCCCCTGCACCCACCAGTCCACAGAAGGGCAATTCATGTACAAGTCCAGTTCTCAGTCTCCCAGGATGAGTTTGACAAAAGAGGCGACGTCTGTCTCTTTGGATTCGTGCAGGGTGAAGAAAGGATGTTGCTGGGAAAGAAAAGAGAGGGGGAAAATAGAAGCCATTATTATTCATGATGCTGAGGACCAAACTAAAAACCTTTTCAGGCAGTCTTCTAGACAAGGAAAAAGATTTTGTCACTAGCATCCGAATACTCGGCTTCCCATGTTTTGCAGCTGAGGCAAGTCAGGGAACTCAATGGGCCACTTCATGAAGGCTGCAGATTTGTGCTGCCCTCATGGATTCCCTCTAAACCCTGAGCCTGGCTGGGCTGCTTTCAAAGGAAGAGACAGTATTAAAAAGCATTGCCTTCATCTCTAGCACACCCTGCCATTTCAACACACACCGCAGTCTTCAAAAGCATTGTCTCCACCTCCAGCACATGGTGCCCTTCAGCACACACTGGCTTGCAGCTCTGTGGTACCCCAGGAGAAGATGTGCTCCTTGTAATAGGGTGGTTACCCACTGCACCATGTGCCAGCTCCATCAGGAGCAAGGAAACCCTTGCAAGGAAGACTGACTGCAGTGGGTTTTCCATCAGCTTCCTGCTTTATCTGTGTATTTACCCTCTGGTGACTTTTGAGTCTCATTTCTTCCCTGCAATTGCTCATACTCGCAGCAGGAGATGGCTACTTTACCCCTAACCACCGCAAAGAGGAAAGCCATCCCGGCTGGAAAACCATCCGCAGCTGTATGTTTAACTACTTAATGGTGACCAACACGGGAAGACATCCTGCCAGAAAATCCTGCCTCCATTTCAGCACAAATGGAAAAATATGTGTAAGGAATCAAAAAACACAACCAAATGCCCCTTGACAGCAGCAGCAAAGCCCCTCTCTGCTAGCACCAGCCATGCAGTTTGCTAACAGGGACTGCAACGCATCATCTAAGATCATTCAACTTTCACCTGAGATCACCAAAAACACTGTTTGACACCCACTGTTCTGTCAGTTGATGGTATTTATTTGTAAGGAGGGTGTCAGAGAGAACCAAAAGGCAGCCAGGACCCCGTGGGGCTCACAGGTGACCTTAAATCTGTGCAAAATGATGCTGCGCTTCCCATGCGCAGGCTGGGGGAGCTCGGTTTGGTTCCTCACCCTCTCACTTCATTCCAGATTGGACAAATTGGGGTTTCCAGCGTTTTTCAAAGCTGCACCTCACCTTGGTCCCTAAGCATTGGCTATTCCAATGATCACCTATGGCAGTGGCCAAGTGGAGGGAGAAGAGCGAAGAAAAGAGATTTTCCAAGGTGGGCTTGAGTGGAAAGTTATCCAGTGAATAACAAAAGGCAGCTCTGAGCAGCTGGGAAGCGACCCAAAGACACACCAGCAAGGAAGAGGAAGCACAATTATGTGGGAAACAGAGCTGGAACGGGTTGAGGCAAGGATCCAGACATAATTTAAGGTCTCCCTGGGTCAGACAGTCACGGGAATTCAAGTGTCCTGAATGACTCTCGTAGAGATGGCCCAAATGGCCTGCTGTGTTATTATCCCAGCGCGATGCCACTGCTTCCGCATCCCAGCTAAATCGCACCCAGGGCAGAGCTACCACAGTCTGGAAGCACCCACAAGCATGACATGGGTGTTAGTGGTGGCCTACAGCCCTGTCTCTCAGTGAACCCAACCCCTTTGCAACGACTGAGCCTGGTCACAGCACTAAACACCCTGTGCCAGGTCAATGTGCCCTATTTAATGTGTAGACCACCAGTCCTGCAGTAGTTTCATGCTCTACTTCACCTGGGGAAATGGATTTTAAAATGAAATTAAGCCTCCCTATCAGTTTTCCTGATGCTCAAGATAGAACAGAGTCATATTTTCCATGAGAAACCTCAATTCCACAGGAAAGCAAGGGAGCAGCCTTGGTCTAAATGACAAGTCCAATCCAGTACCGCAACTTAATGCCGTAAGGGAGAGAGGAGGGAGAAAAAAAACCCCAACAAAACAGCAACCCTCAACCACAGGACCTCACAACATTCATGTCAGCCATAAAATACCACAGCATTGAGATACTCGGGAGAGGTGATCCAAGAACCTAATTCAATAGAAATGCACTCGCTTGCCAACGGGTATTAATGCTGCAACAGACGGAGCTGCTCCGGTGAACCTTCTTGATAAAAGGCCATTTGGCAAACTTCAGAAATTTGCTTAAAATATATACGTATTTATTCAATGATAATGAAAAAAAGGGCAAAAATTAAAAAAAAGGAGCCATAAACCTCGGGCCTCCCTTTGTTTGAAACCAGTATTTGGGCAAACTGTGTGTAAATCAGATCTATATATAGTCTGATTGCATTACAGGGCCCAGCAAGAAATGCCACAGGAATTATTCACTGCTTACAACCACATGCAGAAAGCACATGGATTTCCAGTGTGTCTTGCAGCTAGAGAGCACCTTAAACCCTGGCACCTTCACACCACATAGGGCCCAACACCTCAGAGCAGAGAGGCAGCAATAAGGCTGACCCCTTGGATGACATAATGTATGTCCTATGAGTTATGGGGCACGAGACACCAATGCCTGAGGGAATTCTGCAGCAGCTTCCATCCTTAACCCAGGAGATCTTCCCAGTGGCACTGGATGGGGTGGGCAGATACAGACAGGGAAGCATTTGGGTCAGGATCTTTAGAAATCACAGTTAGGTACCTTCCTGCCTTTAGCAAGCTGTGTATCAGGTAGGGATAAAAAACAGACTAGATGCCTAGGGAGTGAAACACTGACTTCCTAAGCTGTCCTGCTTTTTGCTGGCAGCTGGGAACACCAGGATCAATACCAGAAAGTTGGGAGAGAGAAAGAGGCCATGAAACCTTGGATCTCCAGCAGAACAATCTCACCACAGACCCTGGTCTTGCCAGCTCCAGCCCAGAGCTCTGGCTGAGTGTACACCAGTGTCTGCACTGCTGTGAGTTCATCAGCAGTTAAGTGCATCTGACCTCAAAGCCCTGCACTGCCTTTACATTTCCCCCTGTCGTAAGCCTTTATCAGCATCTTCTTCCTTAGTTATTCCTCTGTCCATACAGCAAACAGTATCCAAGCAGCAGATGAAATTCAATAACCGGAATTATTAGTCACAGACTCGTCTCTGTCCCTAATATCCAGGAATTACTCTGTCCAAAAGGTCTCCTCTCCAAGGCACCACAACAGTGAAGCCTAGCAGGCTACTCAGCTCCTGCAGCCCACGTGGAGCATCCATGGTGCATGCATTTCACTTGGGCGTCTGAAGCCATCACACAGATGATTTTATCCTCACTAACTGATTCTGCACACCCTCACTCTTGTCCCTTAGCACATTTGTTAACTGCTTTAACATATTTTAATCCCTTGATCTGACTGGAATAGCACCTGAATGAGATTTCAAAGAGCATCTCTGATTCGCAGTCATCCCCCCAAGCCCCTGAAGCGCCATGATTCTCTCATCTGTTATGGAAAAAGGAGATGCTAAGCATCCCAAATCACTAGTCACTATTAGAAACCTTGTCTTCAGCATCTCATTGTAACCCATCTCAGCTCCGAATCAACACGCTGCTTAATGCAGGCACACTCACCATAAGCTCTGGGTATGTTGGCCGCTCTTTGGAATTCTTCTTCAAGCTTTAATGAGACAAAACAAAAGAAGAAAAACATTAAGTGTTACATTCAGTATGCAATTTAAGTGCAGCCATAATATTATACCATGGCAAAAGCAAGGTTTCAAGTCCTTGTGGAGTAAGCCCAACTACTCATCTGTATGTTAAGTGAACAGCTTAGGGCTCGAGGACACCTACAGCCTGCACACAGGCCCGTATCATACACACAAGTGCAGCGAGCTCAAGGTCAAACAAGAGATCCAGGGACACCATATGCACCAGTTAAGGCACTGCCTGTTGCTGGGGGCCAGGTGCAATTGGGGTTTTTGGGTGCTATCCAGTAGGCCAGCAACTAAGGGCATGATACAGCCTCCAACCACTGATTGGGAGTGGTGACCGAGTGGCTCCAAAGCACGTGTACAACTGTTTGTTTATCGCTGCGCTGTTATCAGCGGGGACGGTTACATGGGACATCCTTTTTTTCTCCTCTCCTACAACAGATGGCTCTGGAGGGTTGTAGCTGGGAGTTATTTTGGTTCCCCTCCAGCAGAAAATAGCTTTTAAAAGACAGGACGTAATCTCTGCTTGCTTCCTGTCAGTGTATTTAGGGGAAAGACACTTGGAGCGACTTGAAAAGATCTTCACACACGTACACGTCGGTGGCGGGGAAAAGGTGTCACACTGAGCACAACAAAAGTGAGAACCTCGGCGGTGATAAGTCGCTCCTCTGCTGGGATTTGCCGGAGCCCAGAGGAAGCAGAGGACACACACTGAATAGATATTTCCTGCTTGCTGTGTGGAGCGGGCTCGTGTTTAGTGTCATGTTGTGAATGAACAGAGGAACCTAGTAACGATACGTGCCAATAGCGCCGAGCCGAAGGTACGGGATGTGTCACATCCTCTGAGCTCAAAAGCGGCCCAAGCCGCGATGCTAAGGTGAATTTGAAGGTTAGGTGTGTCCACAAGCAGGATTCGGGGATAATCCTCTTAATTTAGACCCTCTACAAACAAAAACACTTGCTTCCAGGTTACTAATACCAGGAAATCTGGTGACAAGTTACTGAAATCAATATAAATCTTCAGGAATGATGAGCCCTATTTGGATGTGATCCTGACTCAGCTGTCCAGGGAACTTCCCTGCAGTGGCTACAGGTAATCAGACTTTTGCTGCCCCAGTGGCTATGATTCACTCTGTGACCTCCTGAGACTGAGACAGACCTAAGCCAGGCCAACCGCAGCACACTGAGTTGATGTGACCTTGATCAGCATCAGAAGAAACTCTCAGACTCCAATGACACAAAACTGCAGCCAAAATTCACTTTTCCAAGCCCATGCCACTCCACTGGTGCCAAGGGATCTTCAGTGACCCTTCAGGATGGGATTTCCAAGGAGAGGAGCCTCCACACGCTCCCTAAGGCTTTCAAGACGACAGCGGGGTCATTCTCACTGCAGCCATCACGATATCTTACTCCTAAATCAGCCCACGGCTATAGCTGCAAGGCGCCGTGCTTGCAGAAGCAAAACATTCAGTGGGGAACAACAGCCTGCCTGGCACAAACAGGCAGCTTTGCAATAACAAGAAGCGAGCCAACAGCACGGGAGAAAGGCAGCTGGTCCAAAATCACAGCGTGGGCCTCGCAGAAAAACAGCAGGCATTTTGAGAGAGGGTTTATTCCAAGCTCCCACCTCGCGCAGACACAGAGCAGTGTGGGCACGGGCAGGTATTCCCCAGCGCAGGTCAATGTGCGGCTCATCACAAGGACCTCAAAGACACGTTTGAACAAGACTCCAAGGAATCCGCACGTCCGTACTTAAGAGTCCTGGGGCAGGAGTGGCTGATAATCCCCTTCCTGGGTCGCAGCAGAGCCATCCGGGCTGGGTGCCCTGATGCTGGCGGCTCGGGAGCAGTCTCACATGTCTCTGTGTTTGTGGATGTGCCGTCCTCTCCTGGCCACCACGCAACCCCCCCATCCACCTGCCAACTTGGCAAGCCGCGGATGGCACCGCAGCGCCTGGAAAATAGAAGCGCCTCCCAGGCGGTTTCCAGGGAAGCTGCAGGGAGAAGCAGTCAGGAGCCGCGGGGCCGCTGCCAGCTCTCTGCTGAACCGTAGGACGAGGGCAGCTGCGAGGCTCCTCGGGCGCTGGGAGAGCCTGTGCTTCCATGCAGCGCTCGCAACCTCCAGACAGCACGCATCTGCTCCAGCCCTTTTCCTACGCCGCAGCCAAACTCTCCCGCTGCTTCCAGCTCTGAGTCCCATGGCAAGCAGCGCAGCAGCCGGAGGGCCCTGGTAGCTGCTAACGGGGGCCACCATGGGGCTAACTCTGCCCTTAGAGCCGTGTATCCCATGGGAGCAAGAGGACGCAGCCATTCTGTGTCCTACTCCTGTCCCTGCACCAGCCATGGGATATGAGGGATCCATCAGACCTCTGTGCCTGCATTGTCCATGCTGCCAGCCCGGCCGCAGACACCCCATGCTGATGGAAAATGGATTGAGAAAGACTCCTAAACCCCTTCCTCCCCTATGTCCCCTCCAGGCCTGTCCTTTATCACCTCAAGCAGGGAAGATGCCCACAGCCACCATCACCAGTGCTCTGGCAAAGGCACAGCACCAAGCCCCAGCCTGCCCCTCATGGTTCAGTGAGGACATGAAGGTCCATCCCTTCCCCCGGGGAGGATGCTTTGATCAAAAGCTTGGGTTGCACCCTAAGGGGGTGCCTGTGGGGATAGGGATGCCGGAGGCACCACATCCGCCCCCCAGCCTGGCAGAGGAGCGCAGGGCAAGGCCGGGTAAGGGCAAGGGAGCACTTTACCATTGAGAGGTAAAATCGACGAACTCCGCTGAGAACTTCTCCGCCGGGAGCTGCGGCGATGGCTCCTCCACCACCTGCTTGAGCTGCTGGAATGGCGTCCCCCAGGAGTCGTAGGGAAAGCGCAGGATGGCCAGCTCGATCTGCGGAGACACAGCCAAGCCTCACCCCACAGCATCTCGCCCTCCTTCCCCATACATTCCCCATGTGCCCATCCTGGGTGTGTTATATAGGCACAAACACATGGTGTTTCCTCACCCCACTTGGCCACCACATCTTGTTTAACCTCTTCCATACGGGACAGGGTGGAGGAGACCCATCAGTCTCCGTATGCAATACTCTGCTGTTAGGCTTGGGAAAGGTTTGAAGTTAAAACCAATGCCACATCTCAAAGGATAACTGTGCTTTCAAATGGCTTTGCAAGCAGATGGATTCCCCCTAAACGCTGCGTGGGAGATGCCACCCATCCCTCCTCTTCTGAGGGGGACTCTGCTAATTGCAAAGTGTTGGGAGTGTTTTTCTGTGCTTTGAAAGCCAACCTGCTCCAAGGCGACAGGCGCCTTCGCCTTAGCCCATGCTGCCATCTCCCGGCAGCCCATCGCCACCACATCAGGGCTGTCCCCACCAGTGGCACCCCACAGGCGCAGCCGAAGACGGCGCTCCATCCTGCTCCCTTCCAACCCTGTGGAAAGCTTGTTTCCCGTTCCCACCCCATCACCTTCCCAGGGAACCGATGCCAGTGTTAGGGGGGGTATGGGGAGGAAAATGAACCCAAAAGCAACATCGAACCCTTTTGGCTTCACTGTGAGCCTCCAGGTCACCCTACCATTGTGATCCCCAGGCTCCAGATATCAGATTTGACGCTGTAACCCTTCTGGTTCAGCTCCGGGTTAATTCTTTCAGGCTGTGAACAGAGGCAAAGGTGGCTGAGGAACATGGATGGCACCAGTGCAATGCCATCGCCCAGGGCTCACCGACCACAGATGGGTCTCTGAGGGTGACAGACCAGGACCACACCTGGCCCATGCCACCAGCTTGCTCCCTTGGTCGTGATGGGGCCAGATCTAGTGCCACGGTGAAACGGGTCACCAGAAGCAGATGGTACCTGCTCCAGGGATTGAGGTGTTGGAGCTCAGGGAACAGGGAGCAAGCCCCAGTTCTCCTGCCCTGTTTTCACCCTGCGCAAGTGCTGCACAGAGGGCGAACCCTGAACAGCAGCTCCCAGGAGGAGTCTGAGGAACCCAATCCCTGGGGACTGCTTTTCCTCCCCGATGGAAAGTACTATTGTCCCCACAGGGCAGACAGCAAAAATGCAGCACAGAGTAATTACAGAGCCTTCCCCAAGGTCACCGGGACATGATAAGGCAGCAAGAAGCTGTGCCCAGGAGATATGATCTGACCCAGGAGATCTGCCTCTCCTCTCTGCCCCTTTATGAGTAACTTCAGGGATTCATCTTCCAAAACAAGTCCCCGGAACACATGCCGGAGACTGATCCTTCCCCCTTTCGGATGACCCGATGCCCAGGCTCATGTTCCTCAGCCCTCACACGCAGCTCAACTTACAGCCATGTAGGGTTTGCATCCTGCATCCATGGTTTTAGCAACCGAGTCGACGAGGTAACCGCTAATGCCAAAATCGCACATTTTCACCTGCCCCTGCGTATTGATCAACACGTTAGAGGGCTTTACATCTGCAAGAAGGAACACATACCACAGTCACTGTCACGCACGGGTGGCTGTGCCAAGCCAAAACAAGCCAGAGAGCTTCCTAGCAGCAGAGGGCACCAAAGGTGTCCAGGCAAAGCCCTGTGCTCTGTGCACGCCAGGAACCCGCTGGCTGCGGGTACTGCAAGTTCAGGTGACAGTCTCATGGCCTGTCATATGTTCTGCAAGTGGCCCTTCCCTTGCAGACTCCTCTCTCTGATCTGGGGAAGCAGGAGGTATCCCTGCACATAACCATCCTGCATACCCCATGGATATATCCCATGTTTGCAGGGGAACAGCTCATCGGGGCTGAGGGCATCTGCAGGGGATGTCTGGAGCTCTGGCAAGTCCCCAGGTGGATGTGGTCCAAGGAAAAACCCATAGGGAAAGGATGAGGAATGGCCAGGAAAGGGTGAACAGGAGCAGCGGGGAAGGAGGGAGCAGTAAAATAAGACAAGGATCAAGATTTCAGAAGTGGCCTCTAATTTTAAGGATACCAAGCTTGCAGGCAGTGTGAACAGCAGCAGGCGTGTGGGTGCTCCACACCTTATGGAAATCAGGCCAGTGTCTCATCTATTTATTACTGCCAGATTTATCCGCTTCCCATCACGGCCTTATAATCCTTGGTGCGTTCACACTTGCATCACGCTCACGAAGGCAGTTAAAATCACCAACAGAAAGGGAAATTAGGGCTTAGGAGGAAGCTCTCTGATATCCATGAGAGCATGGAGGTGCTCTCCTGCACAGCAGGCAGTCACTCCCTGTGAGGCTAATACCAGAGGAAATCTCAGCACAGTGCAGGTAGCACTCTCTTCTCTTATCCCAGCACTGATCCTCAAAAGGCAGCAATCCTTCCCCTGTTGCCACCCAGGGATAAGAGGTCTCTTCCGCAAGAGGGTCCTCTGTCTACATGGGATAGACTATTAAATAGCAGTGCTGAAACACCATCTGAATCTGCTTTTGAGACCTGCCTATTCCAACTGGATGATTTATAGTTCATTAACATCTGCTCTCTAATCAGCATTTTGCATTCAAAAGCCTCAGGTTGCTGAGCTCCTCACCCATCTGTTACTATGCTGAAATACGACAATTTTCAGTGGAAATCAAACAAGTAAACAGAAATCCAGAAACCGAGCAGCATTTCCCACCTACTGTCAAGGATACGGAAGGCAGAAACAACCCCCAGCCACACGCAGAATGTACAGTAGGTGTCTGCAGGATAGAGCTGAACTCTGCTCCTTCAGATGCTCCTCTCCCCGGCAGTCACACTCTCCAGAGAGGGCTTTTTCCTCCTCATGACATCGAAAATGACCCTTTCAAACTAAAGGTGTCAAGCAGCAACACTGCAAATTGGTTTCTTGCTAAGAGTGTTCACAGCATCTTTGAGATGCTTTAGAGGGGAAAACGTCAGAAGAGTTTTAGGAGGGTATTTACGACTTCACTTGAGGCTACTTTAGGTACCACGCTCTTCTGCCCCACCAGTGCTTAGGGAAGCTCACAGAAGGGGATGAGGATGGTTAGATCCCTACATGAGGCATCACTCTGGCATCTCCCATTGCACATCAACATGGAGCCATCAAGCTAGGGGAGAAGCCTTCTCAAACCTGATCCAAAGCCCACCAAGGTGAGAAGGAGAAGTATGGTTTAATATTGCAGAGGTGCTAAAGCAGACCGTGGATTTAGACTGTGCATTAAGGAAATACAACCCAGGGGGAAAGAGCCCATTCTCTGCCTGCACCATCAGGGAAAACATGGGAACCAGCATGCAGTTTTCAAAGAGCAAACACAGCTGATACTTCCTCTGAGTAGGTTTTGCTACTCATGAGGTGCTGGGGAATATTTTTGCTGCCAAAAGCCCATTTTCTCTTAGGTATTTTGGGAGCCCTGTGCCTGGGCACAACCCAGCCCCTGCAAGGCTGCAAGCACATGGCGCAGCGCAGACAGACACCAGCATGGTCATGGCTGTGTGCTTGGCTCTTACCTCTGTGGATCACGGAGAGCTTACTGTGTAGATGTTCTAGTGCTTTTACGATCTGAAACAACAAATCTGGAGTGAATCACAGCTGGCAGCACCATGAGGAGGAGGAAACGCTATTGGGCATCACCCACCCCATCCTCACCAGACCTGCCTGGAGGAAAGGAAGTACATCTCCTGCAAGTCCTGCACCATCACAGCAGCTTGAGGTGATGATGGGTACCCAGGAATCTCCCAGGACCCTAATGAGAAGGCAAAAGAGCTGCAGGGCCCTCCCACACCTAATGCTGTGCCACCTCTCAATTATGTCTATAGGCACACTCTGGCTTACTCATGGCTTATACAAACCATCACCACAGGACCAGATGCTAGAAACCAGCTAGGAATGTCCACATGGGCTGGCCCATGGACCATGCTCTTCCTGATGCAAATACAGCAGGGAGCTTGGGTCATACAGAACTTGGCTTAGAAGATAAACACCCTTTCCCTTCCTCTTCACAGAGACACTAATCCCACAGCTAATACTAATAACTAATACTCACAGAGACAGCTATTTTCCCTAGGATGTCCTCAGGAATCGTCAGGCCTTTGTCAATGACATGTTTGTAGAATTTGTCCAGTGAGGTATCCATCAGCTCCATGCAAATCCACACATCCCCCTGGAGGATAAAGCAAGCAAACAGCTGCTTACTGGAATGAAGCATCCTTTCCTTTCACATGTAAAGGTCTCCTTTGGCACTTGCCCTTTGCTGGCCTGTTCGCCTTTTCCCTGTCTTTTAAAACTCACTCAGTAAAACTCTACTGGGCTTTCTCTTCCCCTCTCCTCCAGCTGGAATTAAGTGCTGTTCACCTTCATTACCATTTAGAGGTAGTGAAGTGATTTAGGAGCCCAGAAAGTTATCGGGACTGAGGCTCCTATATGTTCAAGTCACTGCAATTGCTCAGATAGGACAAGTTCAGCTCTGCAGAGCTATGCTTAAATCTCCTCAATACATCTTGTCTATTTTTCCTCCATGTGGCTTTCACATTGCAAGTCAGGACAACATTAACACTAATGGACCAGGCTGTGTGTTGGTGTCCTCAGCACCAGCCATCCCCATCACTCAAACTCACCACCAAGCCCCAACAACTCAGCACAGGGATCTCAGACATGCTTGGCACTAGGGCTTGGCTGCCTCTTCCTCACATGAGACTACTTCTCTCTTTGCTCAGCACGAAGTAACTGCATGTGACAGATCCTTAGGCCAGGACTAAGCAAATCCATATTGCACCACATATAGATGGAGATTAAACCCCTGGCACTTGGTGGGGAGTTTAGGCATGGGAATTCAGAGCCTGGGAGCAGCTCCAGTCTCCCAGGGGCAGCACAGCTGATTTCCAGGATGCCATACCTCTCGGAAAAGTGCCCCGTAAAAGGTGACAGTGAAGGGGCAATCTACCGTCCTCATGGAGATATCCAGATCCATCAGTAACCTCTTCTGCTCCTGGCTGTTCACTGTGGCTCGGATCCGCTGGAAGACGAAGCAGTTTAGCATCGGCTGTAAGCACCTCCATGCCACAGCCATACCCATGCTGTGCCTTGACATCACTCCTTTACTCTTTTAGCACACCTCTTTGTGTTACCCTTTTTGACACCTCTCAGCCCGAACTGCAGGTGATTTGCTCTTCCCTGCAAACACCACTCTTTGCAACAGCCAAAAGTCCCTGTGGCTTGGGAGGGGAGAAATGCGCAGGAATCAGCTTCTAGGCTGGTGAAGCCTGTGACTTTCAGAGATGCTTTGGACATCTCTTTACATCAACAGACTTGGGTGATGTCTACTGCATGAGAGAGGGCTCCAGCCCTGCACCCAGACCCCTTAGCTTTGGAAAATGGGCATTTCCCTGTCTCCCAGGGAAAGAAAATTAACTTAATCAATTAAATTTATAGTACGTTATTCTGTACCATTACAGTTAATGTGCAGAGCCCTGAATCTGAGGGTACATCTGCATTAGAAAATATGCACATTTACAAAGTGATGGCAAATAGCTTGTAAAGTCCTAGTGAAAACAGGAATATTGTAGACATAGGTGCATGCACTGCAACGCTGGAAACACACTGAGCATCATGCGGTTAAAACACACCCCTTTTCTTGGTTAAATGGCCCAAATCTACCTCATCACTCTTTGCCCCTGTGCAGAAAGAGGATTTCATAAAGAAAGCAGTAAATCTCAGTAAAGGCATGCATCAGAACAAGCGACATTAGACATGTGCACCAATGAGAGCATCCACACACGACAACTTGGACAGAAAGCACCTCGGAGGCTCACTCTACCTTCACTGCCATGATCTGCCCGCTCGGCATGTGCCGCATCTTCTCCACCACCCCGTATGCACCTCGTCCCAGCTCGGAGATGGGCTCCAGGTCATCAGCTTTCACCTCAAAGTTCTGTGAGGGAATGAAACATCAGTGCAAAGGTGGCTGCTGTGCATATCTGTTACGCAAGGAGTGAAACAGCCCTGAAATCTAGCCCTGTTTGGCAAATAAATTCACTTCTGTGCATCCCCCTCCCTATCGGTGTTCACGAGGATAGAAACAAATCATGGTCCTCAGAGGCTGCCAGGAGATTAACTACAATGTGGTAATTAGCAGAGTTCTGATTAGGATGTGCTTCCTAATAGCACAAGCAGGGAGCCTGTGTTGAGGAGCATCCTGAGCATCGTGGGCGCAGGAAGGACCATCCCATCGATGGGATGCTCCCCTCAGCACCCGAGTGCTTATTCCACCCCCTTCAGCTGCAGTACTTTCAGCTTCCTCATCCTCAAAGGGCTGGGATGGAAAACACCACATCAGATTCATCCCCAGGAATCACCTTGAGGCTTTTATTCCTTCTACCCTCCTACAAACAATCACGGAAGTATCTCTATGTTTTTTGAGGCTTGTAAAAGCTTAATTCTCCAGACCTGCAGACAGGCCACATACCAATGACTGTGCTCCATTTTTAAACCATGGATGATTTATTTTCTCTAGCGTTCGAGATCTCTTTCTCCTGGCCTTACACAGAGGGTGACTTTGTTTGCAGCCCTGCATCCTAACCTGCCCTTCTCCCTTCTGCCGCGATATTGTGCAGCAGCTCTATTTTTTGCTTCATATTATTTTTGGATGTTTAAGAAGTGCCTTTGCTCCTAAACCCAACCATTCCGTTTGCCCAGCGCACGACCACATCAGTCAATCATCCTACAGAAAGACGCCGGTTATAATGAACCGATTCACGGCGCAAATCCCACATTGCTTTCTGCTGGCACAGCAGAAATAAACCCTGCAGCCTCAGCTGTGCTGGCTGGGGATGCCACAGCGTGCAGGGCCACACACTGCATTACTGTGTCATTCCCTCGCAGCTCCATCGCCTGCAAAAGGAGCCCTGGCTCACAGTTATGTGCAACAGGAGGGATTGAAGCATCTCTGCCTGCCTGACACTGCTCCCGCTGTTCAACGAGACCCTCTCCAAAGAAGCACTTTGATTCTCTCAAGGCCACTCTTCAATTTAGCAGCAAAGGGAGAGGAGGGAAAGTGGCTTTCCCTAGGGATGAGGGGGGAGTGTAGAAAGGCTGGTGGAGCACATCCTAAAGCAACCTGGCTGGATGGTTAGGGAAATGCAAACCACTGGATGCCAGTCCCTCCGAGATAGCCACATATCTGTGTCTGTCAAGCTGAGCTCTGGGTTGTACGAGTGCTTTTCTCTTTGCACCATCCAACACGGGCTCTCTGCCTCTGTGCATGGAGCCTTTTTGGAGTGCCTGAGCCTTTCCCCATCCCTAGGACTGCAGGGGAGAAATGATTTTCTTGGAGTGGGTGCCTGCTCTAGCAGCAGGCATTTTCTGTGCCTCAGTGCTGCACCATTTTGCTCCAGAGGCATCTCACACTCTTTCCACCTTCCTGCCCCTGTTCCATGCCAGGGAAAATACAAAAATCCAAAATGAAAGGAAAGCATCCCAAGATACAGGCATTAGAAACCACTATTAGCATTTCACTCCATGCATTAACTCGCCGACGCCAAGGCCTATCTTTACACCTAATACATGTACTGCCTAGCTTTAAAATGCTTTTATGAATGCTGCTGTGCTGTTTTCTCCTATCAAAATAGCTGTTTTGTTCTTCCCTGCTATTTTCTCAGACCATCAGGTGACTGGTTCCCATGCTGTCACAAGGATTTGCTTCCAGGACAGGAAGATCTACCCTGAGTTAGACTCCTGATGAGACGGCCTTCAATATTAGCGAAGGGAAATACATTTAGTTAAATCCCTTTAAATCAGCAAAGGAACTGATAGAGGAGAAAAGTCTGCTGTTAGCAATCCCCTCATTTTATGACTGTTATTTCCAGGGGATTGGCTGGAATAATAAGGCAAGGAAGGAATTTCCCAGGTGGAAAGCATGAAGGGGACGGAGGAGTCACAGGATGCAAAGGGTGGATGTTTGGGGACACGTTCATCAGAGCAGTGACAACCCGCAGGTCACTCTTCTCAGCTTTTACTCATCCAGCAACTGCCTTCCTTTTCAAGCTTTTAATAGCTGGTGTTTATTAATCTGCCTTCTTCTGTGGGGCTGAAGTTAAGCAATCCCACAGGCAGCCAGCACCAGAGCAGCCAGCCCAGGGTGGTCACCGGTCCCCAGAGGTCTTCTTCTCACCACAACTCCTAGTCTTACCTCCTCACCAATAGAGATGCAAGCTTTGGAGTCTAGATCTCTGGGTGGCCTGCAAAGGAGAAAAGGGAAAAGATGTTAAATGTTCCTTACAAAGATCTTGTTTCCCTCAATGGGTAAATACAACCTCCATGGCCGTCCCCTCACACCTTCAGGCCAGCAGCCCTCACAGCCTAAGCAGTCTCCTAGCTTTGCAGGATCAACAGATAGAGCCAACATCCACAAAGTCACCCCAAAAAGGGGTCAGGAAGGAAGCTGCTGGAATTGGCTTTTCTCACATCCAACTTCCCCATGCAGGAACCCAGAGAGATTCATTGCGAAAGACAAGCCAGGTACAAGCACCAAATCTCCGCCAGCCTGTATGAAAAATGGATTAAACGGGCATAAAGGTCTAAAACCCCTGTAAATGATTACCCAAGTCACACAGCATGGGTTAACAGGCTAATAAAAGCCAGTCCTCAAGGAAGCAAGGAGAGCCAAGCAGGCAGGAGTTGCACAAATGGCCTTAAAAACACAGGGATTTCTTTTGCAAGGCTCGGTATGTAGGGAAGGGGATGCATTTTTATGCCCTGACCAAATGGATGTTATTCAAACTGGGTGGCCAAAGTGCCACACCAATTAAAATTGGGTGCCTATTATGATTTTTCCTTTTCCTGGGCACATCATTAAGCAGCACATGAGACATGTCCACAGGCAGTGATGGGTTAGGGTGATGGGCTGAGATCCCGTGGTTATACGTGGGGCTACAAGAGAAATACAAGGACTGTTAAGCTATTATCCTCCCTAACGATGCCAGTATTAACCCAGGCATTTTGCCCCTGCTCCTTGCGAATGGTCCCTGTTATCCATAAGGGTCCCCGTTATCCAGACCTACAAGCTCAAGCCCTCACGGCGCAGGCACCGCAAAGGCTGGAAGGCAGCTGGGGCTCGTGGTTTTCTTTTCATTCTGCCTTAGTGCTTGCAGACTTACGTGGAGCTTGTCTGTGGTTGCTCGAATGCTTCTTTAGGAATTTTCAGCCCAGGGTTTCTCTTCTTGCCTGTGAAACAAGAAAGAGGCAGAATTAAAGAAAGGCGCTTTCCCGTTGCTGTTGTTGGGTTGTTTTGGTTTCATGTGCAAAACACAGCTTGTCTATATTTGTTGACCTTATTTAACATAAATGCCCGGCCAGGCTGGTGGTGCTGTCTCAGGGCACAGAGTTCAAAACATAAAGTGCCTTTGTTCAGTAACGCTTCATTTAGACCTGCAAGGTCTGGCTGCCAACTTGGTACAGAAAGCAGGCAAGGGCTCTGGCAAAGGCAGGCCATGTGAAAATGCAAAGTGAAAGGTATTTCTCCTTCGTCAGCCCTACCCACGTAGAATCCCTTAAAACGTTCCTTAGATTTTAAACCATTTCAGATACAGAACGGCAAACCCTGGCAGGAATAAAGACCTTTTTGAAGCTGAAAGTCCAGAATCGGATCCTGATTCTGTTTAAATGGATGCTTCACCTCTTGGTCATTAAAGTTATGCAAACCCAGCAAAAAACTAAAGCAGAATTAAGTTTGCAGGCTTCAAAGCTGTTTGTTTCTGTTCACACTGACCAGCCAAGCTTCTCTGTGCTGGACGAAGCTCAAGCTCTGAAGTAGTTCAAATGCAGGCTCTCCTGTAAAGGGGGTCCAAGCCGGCAGACACAAGAGCCAGGCAGACTAGAGAAACACAAGAACCTTTTTATGGCTAAACATATACAGCCACATTTCAGCACGGGGTTTTGAATTCATGGGTAAAATCACCTGGAAACATAAGTCATGTCACCAAAACCCCAAGGTAAACATCTGGCTGTCTGCCTGTGTAATAAAACCCCTGGTCCCCAAAAAAGGCACAAGCATCTAATTTAGGCATTAAACATTTTTAACCTAACAATTTATATCAATTACAGTCTTTCTTTTAAGCATCAGTTTTACCCTCTATTCCTAACACTCTCAAACTTTACCTACACATGTTTGAGTTTATTTTTCCTCTTGACACAAACTCATGCCAATAGATGTCTGTGCACCCCAGTGCTGGAGGGATGCTAGTTCAAAGTGCAGGCACCCAGAACTGAAAATGACCTTTCCAAAGCAATTAGTCAATTCAGATGGACAATTCTTTCTCTTCCCAATCTTTCCTTTTTGCCTTGTCTGCTCCAAAAGACAGGATCTTTTAGAAAAGAGTCATTCCAGGATGAGACAGGCAGCAGCAACCCAGCTGATACCTCGTGGGAAAAGCATCTATTGCAAGCCATGGTGCACACTCGCTGTTGGGATCAGAAATCAACAGAGCTGCAAATTCAGGAAAGAAAAGGAAATAAGAAAAGACAATTCTCTGCTCCAAGGAGCTTCCAGTCCAACACAACAAAAGGCAAATAAAAGAAGGAAGGTCACCCAGAATCATACAGAATAGGTCTTGGTTTTCCCAAGAGGTAAAAGCTGGTCTGTAAGGAAGTAAGTGACACTCTCAGAACAAGTGGAGGCATTTCTATTTAGCAGAGATGTGCTTTACCCCTTTTCCTTCTGGTTTTCTCACTTATACTACAAAGGTCTCTAGCAGGCACAACAGAGAAGCAGGCTCTGCTGTGCCACATGCTCCAGATACCCTTTCCCAAGCCGTGCCAATGTACATCGGATTTGACAGGATGCTAAATGGGTACCGGTGTTCTTGATGTTGTCATGTTTTGGCTAAAAATGGAACCTCAAAAACGCAGGTCTTGCAGTGCAGGCAGACAAAAACCCCTGTTTCTCTGGGAAGGCCCAAGTCTGCCATCCCAGTGACATCTCTGTCTCCAACAACCTGCCTGCATTCTCTCGCAGTTCAAGCAAACAAGACAACCACGGGCACAAGAAAGCAGTAGCTCCATCCTGATTTTGGACATGGAAATCAATACACAGAGATTTACTGACTTGCCCATGCGAGAAGGAGCTGCCTCGTTAGCTCCAGAGCTGCATTCCCATTAACACTCACCAGCCATCTCCTGACATACAGCCACACTACCACAATGACATTCACACAGCAACCAAAATCAGAAGACAAACAAGCGCGGATTTCCTCTGTTCTTGCCTTTTGACTTTTTTTTCCTTTATGGATTTGCTTGCGCGATCCCATGCGCTGCACCTGAACCTCAGGAACCTGCTCTCAGCAATGGGAACATGAAAACAAACCTACTGGAAACAAACCTAAGTTGAACGTGAACCAGAGCCGGTTGCACAAGCATCCAATGTTCCCATGGGTCACGAGCGGTGTCAGCAGAAGGAGCAGGGAGCAAACACCAAACCCAAATAAATGTTAAAAGCCTTCCTCCTCCTGGCGAAACAGAGCCTGCACTTTGGGGAGTTTATTTTCCTTGCCTCTTCTTCACGGAATACAATATTTTGAAACTCTGCCATTTTTTGGAGGCACAATCTGTTCGCGTCTTCCAGTTGCCAAGACACAGACACAGTTTAACGCTCTTTGGGGTTTTCTTCTCAACAAAGAAGAAAGCAACAACAGCAGCAAGGATAAAACATGGATCTCATGACGGCACCAGAAGGGATTGCAAATGGGAATTTCCACAGCCAGGACTCGCACCAGCAGCTCCTGTGGGATAAGCACTGCAGGGCAATGCGGGCATCTCCGCACCGCCTCACCACATGGGTATTTAATGTAAGTCTTGGAATGTGATCAGGCAATTTCATGCCTCTCATCTGGATCTGGTGAACTGTTGGAGCTCCTTTTATTACAATGTGCAAAAACCTTGACTTTTGGTCCCTCCAAACCTTCTGGGGACAGCGTCTGCAAGTGTCTTACAGGAGCATCCACAATCCTGGACATGGCACTGCCTTACAACCAGAAGCATGCAGCAGCGCTCAGCATCACTCTACATCAGAGTGCAGGAGCCGGGGTCCCCCCTTGCCCCACCTCCATGGGTCCAGGTCACACGTGCTTGAGGGAGCTTGAGGGAACTCTTCCCCAAAGGCAAACAGTGATGCTTAGAGGCCTTTTTATCTCTAAGAAAAACCCATAATTGGAAGCCCCAAGATAAGTTCTCTTCAGTATTAACTGCCAAGCAAGCACCTCGCTGTCAAAATAACATCCCCCAGTTTACCGTAGCAGACACTGGCTTTGAAAGATGACGCTGTGTTAAATTGCAGTTTGCAGAGAAAGTCATCCGTACAGGAGCTCAGGATGTGGAGGCAGCTTAATAACATACAAAATTGGATGTTACCTGTTCCATCCACCAGAAAACCAGTATTTTCCACAGTGTTTCTATGAATCATTATTATTATTTTTAGCCTTGTTTCCTGAAGAAAATCACCACGTGCGTGCTCCTTGTGGCAAGTGTAAATCCACTGGCCAATTTCAGCCCTTTCTGACGAAGAAATTGAGCTTTTGGAGATTGCAAAGCTGATAAAAATAGGTGTTTAAATAAAGAAGTCCCCAGCTCAAAGGAGGCTGAAGCACAGAAGGAACCCATGGCACACACCAGGCATCCACGTTCAAGATGTGCAGAAGCCGTGTGTGTCTCATACACCAAAATAACAACACAAGACTCAAACCTAAACCAGATAGGGTCTGAGCATCAGTGCAGGGGGTTCACTGTAACTCCTTGGGATTTACAATAAGGAAAACCCCAATGACCTATCATACAAAGCATGATGTCTAAACGTGGCTCCTTTTGCACAAGGTTTGCTATCCTGGTTGATCAACAGATGGGATTGTACATCTGTTCTCCAGCATCCAAAAAGTCTTTCTAATAGCAAAGCAATTACCCGCAGAGAATACTGAACTGACCGTGATAGAGATGTTGCCACCTTTAAAAACCCTCTATGCTTTCTTGGCACTGATGAGGACAGCAGGGACACCAGGAGTTACCTGCAGCACCACCACAGCCTGCCCCATGCATGGGCATAAGCTCATCAGCCCGAGAAAGTCAATGCTGAGAACAAAGTGAGGTCTGAAAGCAGAACTGTAACAGGAGAAAGAAAACCTGACTTAATGAAAACACATTAAACACTTCCCTGTGAAGGTCTTAAACCCAGTTCCTGAGGGAGGGGGGGAAAGTTTAACTTCCAATGGACTTGTTAACCTTTTCCCACCAGCACTGACAGAGCACGCATGGAGATTAATGTTGCTTAGCCCATTCCAATTAGGGCAGCGTTAAATATCGATACTGAAAATTGAAACTTCAAAGTTTCCCACCAGAAGGGTAGGAAGCGTAACAGAGAATAACAAAGAAAGGGAAGACAGAGGAATTCACTGCCCACATACGCTGTAACACAAACCTTCACTTCTGAAGGAAAATCCCATTCCCCGGTCTCCAGACTTCTCATTGCAGTCAAAAACTTCTTATGATATAATCCAAAGTAAATGGTTCCTTGCCACAGAAAGCTCCAATTTCCATCAAAGGATATTAACCAGTTCTGTCATTACCACACTTTATTATTAAAGCTGTGTTCAGTAGCCATATAGCAACAATTTCTTTCAAATAAGGCTTTTTAGCATATAATTTCACAGGTGGAAAAGCCTCTTTCTCCCACTTTTGTAAGAGACAAAAGTGTCTGGTTATTATTCCTGCCTTTCCTAAGGATTTCTTGTCTCATCTCTTGAAAGGTTTCGAAAGCCAAATGATCTGCTCTTCCCCTATCAGCTGTGCTCAACTCCATCTGGAGCAACTGCTGCTGTAGAAGATGTAGAAAGCTCCTATTTAACATCAGTTTCACACAGGATGACCAAAGAGGGGGAATAAAAGTATTTTTTATCAAGTATTAAAGAGCATCTCACAGGTTTATTATTTATGCTTGCAAATTATTAAAGGTGAAGGCACACAGAGTGGTTACAGCTGATACAAACCCATCTTAACAGACATGAGAGTTCAAGGGCGGGTGAAGGACTTGCCCATCCCCTTGGTTCCTCAGTGATCTGCCCCAGCAACAGCTTGTCCTCAAGGTGAAAAGCCTTTAATTCTGCCCAGATGAGTCTCCACCAAGGAACTCCACAAGGATGCCCCAGCCAAGCCTAAGAGCGGGAAGGCCGGGCGCATTCCTG